ATTTGAATTTGTTTAGAGTCTCAAACAATCAATTTAAACTTGATTTAGTATAATATGTGGGGAAAGAAAATGCAATATAAACACAAGTGAGGATGAGGTGCAGTGGTAGAGGAGGGCATGCGCGAGGATGAGGTCGTGGGTAAGAATCCTAGCCGATGCGAAGTCTCCAAAAATCATGCAAAAAAATACCGCTGCTACAGAGCGAGTGTGTGGCTCACTAGTGGGGGCCTCCTTGGATTAAAAAAATAGCTTTTTTGGCAATTTTTTTCGTGATTTTTGGAAATTGATTTGTATGGGTGGCTCAATATCCAACCGCCCCTACAAATCATCAGCCGCCCCTATAAATCGATTTGTAGGGGCGGCTGGCCAACCGCCCCTACAAACCGGGCATTTGTAGCCGCGGTTGCTTAGGGGCGATTGGGAAAACCGTTGCTACAAATGCAAATGAGCCGTCCCTACAAATACTTGCTGGTGCAGTGATCACCTCTATCCTTCCCTCCCCCATGCTCTCTTCTTGTAAGTATTTCTAGAGTCTGGGGCTTACACTCTGTTTTTTCCATCTTTTATATAAATGTTAATCATTGTTGGGAACTCCCCCATAGTTCTTTTTAAATAAAACAACCACAAGATCAATGTTAACCATAAGACCATCTCAATGACCAAAAGAATGAGCAAATCCAACCATAAGACCATCTCATCCATGAACGACATAATGGAACCTAAATATCCAATTACATTCTAAAACTTTATTATAATGAGTTATAAACACATGTAAATTTAGGGGCGTTTGGGACTCTAGGTCTTTGTGGAGCGGCTCCACGGTGGAGTTTATGGAGCAGTCCCAAACACCCCCTTAAGTGCATTTGTGCTCGAGAAGAGTGTGTTACACTTGATCCCCAACTGTGCCACTATTGGTATTTCTTAACATCTATAGAAGTTAATCCGCAAGCGTATGGAATTACCGTTTTAGCTTTCACCTGAAAGTATTGATGGTATCGTATTTTTCACAAGGAACGGAGGTATTTCTTCTAACTAATTCGTCCAAGGACAACACAAGGATAGCTGATAAGGGTGAGATGGATTCCTATGGTTTAGGGCGTAAGGATAGATAAACTCTACTTCTACTTGCTCACTTCGGACATCGGCTTACACCTGGTCTGCCAGGCGATACCGGCCTACGGCTCTATGCCATATCCAAACGTGGGGGAGTACGAGGGACGGACATGGCTGTCACCACCTGTCGCCTACCTCGCAACCAGAGGATACGAGGCAAATGAAGGTAGCCTCTAGCCTAGACACTACGTCTACGCTATCGACTACTACTCTAGCGGCAGCTAGGAATATCCGTCTTTATCAGGAGTCCTCTACTAGAGCATCCACCACGGGGATGGACGACAAACCCGCAAATAAGTAAAAGTATAGCTTAACTACTCAAAGACTTTGAATCATAAGAGTAACGAACACTTACTAAATACCCATGGAGGTACAAAGCCGGTGTTCGCCGAGGAACAAGGGGGGAAGGTTACCGACAAGCCCGGCACTTCTTCCCTAAACTCTTCCCTCACTTCTCTCCCTATTTCTCTTCTAGAGCTAGCTAGGGCATAAGCCCATTTGAGTAGTGTTGCTCTTGCTCTTGCTATGGTGCTCTTCCTCTCTTGTGTGTTGTTCAAATGAGGAGAGGGGAGCCTCCTTTTATAGGTGAAGAGGAGGGGGTCTTTGGAATATTGCCCATTCCCATATGGAAGGACCAAACCGCCTCCTTAGCATTAAATTTACCGCCATCCCCACCTGAACCGACCAAAGAGAGGCGGTGTGAGGCAGCCTGTGAAGTTTGGGCCCGAACGGAGCCACTAGGGGTGCGATCGCACCCTCACTAGGGCCAAATGTGGTGACCCTCGGTTTGCGCTCTCCCTTGGGCTTCTAGATAACGCCTACAATGGTGTTCCCGTTGGGTGGGCTCACTAGGGGTGCGGCTGCACCCCTAGTGAGCCCTTTGGGCCCCATCTTTCGTGGGTGACCTTCTGTTGACTTCTTAACTTTAGCCACGTAGGTGCTTGGCCCAGTTTCTTAGGTTGAGTGGGCTTTCTCTTGGTTCCTTTGCTATGTGTAGGATGGAATGCGCTTTGCGTGATTGCGTATTCTTGTCATATTTCCATGCTTTCCATATAAGTCATCTTGCAAAAAGATAATTCACCAAAACTAGTGGAACTGATGAGTTGTAAGTCCTATTTCTAGGTTTGGTGTTGTTTTCAGTGATTTTTATACAAGTGTTGGCGGTATAAAGTGTGAGTTAAGGACCGCCAACAGCCACAATTAATTGGTACCTAGAACTAGATAAGTAGAAGAGTGAGTATAAACACTCAACATGTATAGTTCATAACTAGAAGAACAAATGCAACATATGAATCCATGAGCGACAATTGAACATCAATTAAGAAGTTTTTTGTCTAAAATGGTTAGCACTTGAATAAATTTTACATTTACTAGTAAAACTAAGCAAGTTTTGAGAGACAAATGGTAACATCAACTGTCCCTAAGAATGTCTTCCATTTTTAGAGGTGGTTGGTAATATCAAATGTCCCAAGAAATGGAATATATATAATGCCTTTAAGTCCATATTATATAGTACGACAGATGTCATCCAGAATAAATTTAATGAAACTAGAAGGAAATACTCAATATGCACGCAGAGGCTAACTGGCAGGCCCGTATCTCCCCATGCAGTGGTCGCGTGCGTGTCCTTGTCATATTCTGTCATGCCCTAGGCGTGACCTAGAGCCTCGAGTGGCCGACAATGCCTTGCGGGGGTGAGGGGACAGAGTCCTGGTAGGCTCTAGCCCCCTATGCCTCTACGTGCTTGTCAAGCTTAGAGCATCTGACATATTCTAGAGGAAGATTCCTCATGTCGCCCGGGACAGGAGGCTTACTCAAGACAATATGATGACATCAGTGCCTTTTGATCCTCTCTTGGCCGGCACTAGACATCCTAGGTAAGGAGCACGTGGGCTTTCTAAGCCCCCTGGCATAGTGACTGGCCTACTCCTAGAGACTTGGGTCGTTTGTTGAAGTGGGTCGTCTTAGGCCCAGAAGGCCTTTGTAGTGGTCCAGACTGTGACCGCAAGCACAAACGACGGGTGTAGCACCTGAGCCCCTGGCTAATTAGGAGCACTAGCCAAGGGTTTAATCGCATTATCATGATGCTAATCCAAGGGTTTAGGTAACCTCTCTGTTAGGTACTCAACGGAAGCCATTGAGCCCCTCATAGCCTCCTGAGCCATCTCCAGGATGGTGGTGAGGGGATATCCCCTTTTACTCTCAACTGTTCGTTTGGCCAAGCTAGGGGCCCTAGCTGGGTTTGATGTCTGTCTAAGAATGTGAGGGATGCCATCATGACCTCTTGGTCGAGAAATACACTCAATGTGATCAAACTTGTAGAGCCCGAGCAAGGGCCCAGACAATCCCTCGAAGGGCGATCGGCTTGGGCCTACGTGTGAGGCGCCCCGTGTACCTAGCTTGCCATGGGTTGAGTACCTTGGCTTGGTGCCATCGCGTCGCTAAGGGTCCCACCCCCACCGAGGGGTTCGGTGGCTGCTTCACTGGCTCAGGCTACACATCACCCAATGATCGGGGTGGTCCGCACGCCCGGCCTAAGATCGCTAGTGGGCACATCATGTTTGTGTTGGTCGCTCGCTCATTCCCATGGTCTAGAGGCAGCCACATTTCATCCGTCGGCTAGCCTTCAAATCTCTGGTGTTAGTGGGAGAAGCGTGCTTTCGCACGCGGACCGCTTGTGGGCACCGAGTCTTTTGATATTCCTCAATTCCTACCCCAGGACGTGGAGAGTTAATGAGGCATGGCATGTGTGTGCTTTGTGTGGAGAGATCACTCATTTTTGGACATAATTTATGTTGTTCACGGGTGGGTTTTTTTGGGCGCACACATCTGGACCGTCGGCCGATTGCTGGGAATTCGAAGGGGTGTGGCTCCTTGATCCACGCGTAAGCACACATGGGCAGCGCCAATGGATGGGGCACTATGGAGCTACTCACTCCGTCCAGAAAAAACACAATTCTAGCTTTGAACTGGACACGACGTGTGTCCAGGTTCAGAGCTAGAATTGTGTTTTTTTTACGAAGGGAGTATTGCATCATGCCATAGGGTATGCCACTCTGATGTGACGGTGCCTTGTGCAGGGGCTTAAAAGGTTGACGGGGAGGAGACTGTCCATTTCTTCCTCATTTGCGCCCACATATAGGCCTTCCTTATGCTCTCCCAGCCTTCGCCGTCGCCGCCCTCCTGTGCGCGTCCTCTCGCCATCCCCGGCCACTGTCACTGTGCTCTGTTCATCAAGACCATGACGGATTGGAGAGCATCCAAGGTAGATGCAGAAAAGATCTCACTACTCGTGCAATTTTGGATTGACAACTCACTGGGAAAGCTCGGGTGGAGCCTGCCAGGCCCGAAAGAGGAGACACCAAGGCCCACGGCGTCAGAGGTCATGTCCTTTGTCCCATCCCATCTCGCTGGGTTTAGGATCCCGACACATCCTTTCCTCCGCGAGCCGCTCCGTGTCTACGAGCTACGGCTGCATGACCTGATGCTGCACGGGGTCATTCATCTCGCCGTCTTCGTGACCCTATGCGAGTGCTACCTAGGGTTGTGAAATGAACCGGGATTTCAAACATAGAAATTCAGACTCTTTTGCCCCTATGTGATAGTCACAGGATATCTCGGCTATCATGAACATCCAATTTTGAACTGATTATGAAGTCATACAGCATCAAATTGCATAAATAAGGTAATTATAATAGTTTTGATACAAGTCCTTGGGGCTAAAATAAAAAACACCGATAACCTAATCATAACAGCGAAAACTTAGAGGACGTCAGGGCAGTTTGGAAAGTTAAAAAAAAACATGATAAAAGGAAGGACCACATGCAGTGCAGACGTGTTTTGGAAATAAAAAAAGTGGGTTGGAAGAAATGCTTCGCTCTTTAATATTAGTTAGAGATCGTAGATATAGTAGGATCAACTTTACTTCTAGGATGATATATAAGGTCATAAAGTACAATGACAGCTGATGTTAAGATTGATACCTTCACTCTGCTCTTAGATAAATCTTTATTTCTCAATTGAATATACAATTTTACTGATATCTTTACACCATCCTGGACCACAAATTAGAAAATGTATTAACATGTGAAATAAAAAAAAGAGTTAGACCAATAGAAAAATGAACTATGAGGATAACACCAAAAGAGTTAAGAGTTTAGTACCATGAGTTTCACAATAGGTTTGTAGCCAAGTTCTTTGATAGCTTTGTCACAACTAAATGTTCGATTGAGTGTCGCATACTTAATCCTAGCCCGTGTTAGCATTTGAGGCGTCGTCATTCCAAAATGATATAAAACCTTGTATGCTCCCTCTACCAAATAGCTTACAGGCTTAATAACATGTATAGGTATCCTTATCTTGAATAGTCTGCAATAAATATTCAACTCCTAAGTATGAAAAAGTGCAATAACATATTACCAATATAACTTTATTTTACAACATGTCCTCTTAAGTATGAAAAAATATCTACTAAAAATGAGTTATTCATACTTAGGAGTATAAACAAAGATATAATTTATATGTATAATTTACTAGATAGTTGAAAAAAATGAATTATTCAGTGAAAGCTAAAAATGAAGATAAATAGTTCCATATTAGAACTACTAGTATGACAGTGTCTCTACATTTTACATTAAAGCAAACTTAACAAAAATAATAGATATAGCTCTAATGAAAAATCGGTGAACATGAAGTAAATGACATTGAGATGTATAAACAAACAAGTGTACTACACCTATAAATTAATTCTTTAGTAACATTGCATTAATAGACAAAATAGTAAACTCGAATAATATCTAGAAACTTATGTCAAATATTGCTATAGAAATCACCAAAATTTTGTAATATAAAGAAATTAATATCCATATTATGCTTCCACAGGGAAATAAATAATAGTGGATATCAATGATATACATTATATGGGTAATAAAAATACAATGCATTATGTTCAAGCGCTAATGATGTAAATCCAAGCCTCCAGCAAGTAATTTGGGTTGTTTGCAATGCACAAATTTTCCTAGTAACTATTATATATACACTTTGTGTACCATAAAAATTACTATAATTAAAACTACCATTTGCCAAGGATTATTTCTTGACTAAGGTGTATAGTACAATATATAGCTAGGAAAGGTACTCTAAATTGGTATAAAACTAACCAGATGAAATAAATATAGGTCCACATGGAAGAGCTAGTTTGCAAAATTTGCTATAAAATGTGAGTGCTTTATCATGACATAAGCGTTGATCATTAGAAAGAGCACCTTTTGTATCCAAGCTCTTCTTGAACAGTGTATAGGAAGTCCCACATATTCATTGGCTCCATATTAGTTATAAAATAGGCCTAAAAAGTTCAGATATGTCATGATATAATTTATACTTCAGTTATGAGTTTCATTCAATAGTAAGAGCATACTTTCCCTCCACTGGTTCTTACACCATCCATAGTAGAAAGAGTCTTATCCGCACATATATGACCATGTACGACATTTTCAACATACACAAAATCATCAAAATTCTTCCCATCACCAATAGTGAACTGCAGTCATATTGCATTTGTTAGATTGACATATACAAATATCAACTATCGTAAAATTTTCAATCAGTTCTTTCATCGGCTCCAAATTATATTAGTTAAACATGATTAACAATGTCATTGGTGGGCTTGCCAATCTTGAATTATTTTTTCTTGATCTGGTATTATTAGGCAGTGCCATGATTGGCCTTCATTCAAAAGCGTTGCCCTACAGCAAACCATGAACACAACTTGGAAATTTAGGCCTCTCGTCAAGAGAAGAAAACTGCTGTTTGATTTTGTACTCACTTAGCCCAACAAATAGTTTATTTGTATGAGACAGATTGGTTTGTGGAAAAATGACTCGGGTGCGCCTAATTAATGTTGTTAGATGTGATTCCTATGTGTCCTGCCTTTTGTTAGCGGGATCCCATAAGTTTTCTTATAATTATGATAGAAAATAACCACATATGAATTAAACATCCTAATTTGGCACTTGCATACTGTCTTTAGCTCATGCAAATGTTTGCGATGCGTCATTCTGCTGATCTGCTATCAATGTCAAATACTATATATATATAGCCGTCATTTTGTGAAGTACGTATGAAAAAGGGTTTACAATTTTTAATTGTTTATTAGTTAGTTCTATAATATTAAACATAGCATAGAGTTCCTCACGTGTGTTTTTCCATAAAGATCCAAAGTTGGCATCATCAGGTCGCCTGGGCCAAATATGCTACCTGGACGTATGCAACAAGTCAGGAGGTCATTAGTGCCGTTGGCATCCATGACTAACTTCTCTGCTTCTGCTTTTGTTTGTGCATATGCGTCAGGAAACTGTCAATAGAAAATAAATTAAAAATAAAGAGTCAGGTAAAAAAATGCATGTCCACTATAGACTATAATTTAAATATTTGTGAAGTCAAAAATATTCAAAAAAATATATTATAGGCAAGCATGCTAAAAAACCTCTACACGTCAGTTGTCACTTTCTCATCATCTTGTGATTCATTGCTAGAAGAAAATAAATGCAATTTAGGTGGTAAAAAAATACATAAAGCGCTTGAATGTGACCAATGTCTAATATTATAATATGTGTATATAAAGATTTCCAAAAGATATTGTCATACAACCTTATCTGGATATGGCAACGATTCATTTACGTTAAATAGACCATGAACTCCGCTGAACACAACAGCACTAGAACTGGTGTGTATAAGCCTCTTCACCTTGCATATCTTGCAAGCATCAATTACATTCTTTGTTCCTGAGTAGGTAGAATATAAATAAAAATACAATTAGTAAATTTAGCATGTGAATGATAACATCCTTATCCTTTGGTACGTTCTATCGATAGCTTGTATTTGTTAATTGTCTAGTTAAGCTACTCCCAGTGGGACACTACTACACAAAGGCACTATAGGGGCAGCTCCAAACTATTTGTAGGGGCGGTTTTCTCTACAAATCACTGATTTGTAGGGGTGTGGTTCCCAAACCACCCCTACAAATCGATTTGTAGAGGCGGCTGAGGGCTTCACCCCTACAAATCCATTTTTCCAGAATTCTCAAATCTGGGTCAAAAAAATAGCAAAAAAATTAATCCCGGAAGACCCCACCAGGCAGTCACAAAGTCATGCAGTGATAAAAGAGAAAGAGGATGGTTAGAGAATAGTGAGTGAATGAGTGTACCCCAAATTTTTTTCTCTTGGAAATCTTGAACAGTATCGTGGTGGAGCCTGGATTCCAAGAGGTGCCTATATGTGAACCACATGTATAAATGGTATTTATAAATATTCTAGATGTGAATGGTAAAACTGACCATCTCTAAAAATATGAACTGTTTTTTGAAGTGGTTAGTGTCATCAACTACCTCTAGAAAAATAATTTATCTTTAGAGCAGCAAGAAATAGTAAGCATGTTGAAAAAAAATCGAGGCGGCTCTCAAATTTGGTTTTGTATTAGTGATAATTCTTACGGTTGGATTTAATCTAAATAAATATAGAAAAAGGAAGTATACCTATTTATGTTTTGAAACTATCTATTACTTATTGGTTGTACAACTATTTATCTTTTTAACAACTCTGTTCACAAGAAAACAATACAATCAACTTTGCGATACGCAGCGTGCTTTAATTTGTACTGAACAGAGTACCACATCAGAGATAAAGCCTAAAGATCATACAATTAGGGTTACTAGGTATTGAATAGCCTGTAATTAGTGTCATACTATCCTTGGTATGATTCTTCTACTCACCGATCACGTTGACCTTGTAGTGAAGTTGTAAGTTGTTCTTGCTAGGATCCGCAGCAGCTGTGTGGAAAACAACATCTACCCCTTCAAAAACTGAATAAAAAACAATTATACTCCCTTCGTTCTAAGATATAAGGCTTGTATGTATTTCAAAAATATTTTTTTATTATTTTTTATCAACAGTTACCATAATCATATAAAAAGTTTATAGCACAAAATCAGATACATTATATTTGTATTTAGAAATAATGATTAATCTTTTATTGTTATAAGTTATACCCCTCCATTCCAAATTATAAGTCGTTATGATATTTCTAGACATATATCTTTTGATATACACCTAAATCTTATATTCTTATAAAGCAAAACCCCACTACCTATTTCTTTGAGATTTCGTGAGGCCACGTCATCACCAGAGCCCCACCAAGTCACTAAGTACAAACACTAAATTGCATTCGCGAGCCCCATCAAGAGTAACTTCAAACACTAAATTGCATTTGCTGCCAAACCACCAAGCCATCAAGAGGCATCATATTGTTCTCCACTTGGTTCCTTTAATGCACCAAACCACCAATTCAACTATGCGTCCAAGCCATTACAAATTTTCAGCACCTTCTCCATGATACCGTCCAGCATCAAACTCTCATGTCCTTCCAACTCCTCTACTCCACTTCCATAATGAAGCTAGCAGCTAACCAAATTCATCCGTATTTTCTCTTGGATACCCGCAGCAACGCGCGGGGAATTCTTCTATGATACATAATGTCCAAATACATAGTAAAAGTTATTTATCTAGAGAAGCCAAAATGACTTATAATTTATAACAAATGGAATATTTTGGAAGAGAAAATAAAGATCAAATCGCGTAGCATAGCAAATGCTCGTAGTGGATCATGGATTTGCACAATCCCTCTGAATGTACTATACATGAAGACTTGAGGAGCAATGACGGTGCTATACGCACTACTACAGAGGCGGCTATTTGGCTCATCTCTACTAATATATCTCTAGAGACCAATAATTTGTAGAGGTGAATATCTAACTGTCTCTAGAAATCGATTTCATTTCTAGAGACAGGCCCAAACCTATCCACCCCTAGTCCTCTTAAATTGTTTTATACAATTTTGTAAATCAAACCAAAAAATAGCAAAAACATTTTTTACCCAAGGAAGCTCAAAAGTCCATGTGCATGTAGCCGCGAGGATCAGACTTATAACCTCAAGCCTCGCTCAATCCTTGCTTACCACTCCAACTCAAAATCGCTCTTAATCAAGTGGTTGGTATGATCCATTTGTATCCATTTCAACAGATATTGTAATTCATATTTGAGACTCTAAACTAACTCAAATAAAAAATATTTGAACTAAAAAGTTTTAGATCTATTTAAGTACTACAAGTAAGGTTTAGGTATCTTCACCCGAGGCCATTTGAAAACTCAAAAGAATGAATTTCAAATTTTAAAAATTTAACTAGAATTTTTTGGCACTAAACGATTTGAAATGAAAATAATCAACTACAAAGTTGTAGATCTCTTTGATCATTACACTTTGGTCTAGGTCATTTCTCCATCCGATATTATCTGGAAAATCATAAAAACTAGGATTTAAATTATGAAAACTCTAAATAAAATTTTTAGACCTTAAATGATTTCAAATGAAAAAAAATGTTTTAGATCTCTTCGAGTACTACAACTTTAATGTAATTTTGTCTCAATCCAATTTGGTTTGAAGAAGTTATAAATTTTACTGTGTTGCACCTATTTTTAGAGATGGACATATTGACAACGGTCTCTAAAAAACCATTTCTAGAGTTGGGTCAAATTTCCAATTGCCTCTAGAAATACCTCTATTTTTAGGGCCGGCTGAAAAACATATCCACCAATAGAACTAGTATTTCTAGAGACGATTCGACTTTTCAGTTGACTCTATAAACCAATTTCTGAGAAGAGCCGGCTTAGAACCCATTTTAGAGAGGTAGTTGGTCACTGCTTATGCAAGTTGTTTCTAAAAATTGTTTATGTAGTTGTGATATGGGTGAGCCACCCACCGAGCGGTGTGGACTAAACAAAAGAGGGGGAGTTCAGCAGCAGCAAGGAAGCTGTGGACGCCGTTGACCATGCATGGATTCGAGACATGTGAAGGACTGCCCAGGGAAGGAGACAAGCATGAATTTTGCAAGCATTTATGGTGACTCAGACAATGAGAATAAGCATCATTACAATAGAGAGGGACGTTACAGTTGTACTAGTTGCAAGGATAACGAGGCCTCCCTCAAGTATTTCAGTTTTATTTAGGAAGCAAGCTTAGTTTAACTTGTTGAATGATGAAAGTGAAATATATAGTCATGCATTCAACCACCTTAGGTTTAGGTCATCTTCAACTCGAAATGTATGCATGCATTTTTTTTTTCTTTTTATTAATGAAAAATCGTCTAGTTCGTGTGTGATCTTAGGTTGGTCGTCAGTGCTGCCGACGATAAGTTCATGGCACTGAGTAAATGAGACTGTATATTTCGCAAGACAAATGAGCCTGTATATGCAAAAAAAAAACTCTTCTACAGCTATCATCTAGTAATATATGTATATATTTATTACCTTTGATAAGCTGCTCTAGGTTGCAGACATCAACCGAGGCATAGACGGCACGGCCATCACGGAGAGCATCGCTGAGAATCTCCTCCGTCTCTCCAGGGCCGAGGACAAGACTAGGGTTGAGGTCAGTGACCCAGACGCGCCACTCACCGGAGCGGAGCAAGGCCGCCACCAGGTGCCTGGCCATGAACCCACGGCCACCGGTCACTGCGCGCGCACCACCTCGTCTCCCGGCGACCACCATTGTCATCGTCGTACTGCGAGCCCATCTATCTATCTATCTAGCTAGCTAGAGAAGTAGTGCAATGGCTGCAGGACGCGCACCTTGTTGTTGTTTGTGTTCACGCATTAGCCCTTGCATATATGCATGTGTTTATAGCCACGCGGCGAATTGAAAGGCCCTGGTGTCATGGCTCCACATCTCAGCCAGCCCAAGGAGGCCCAGCAGCCCAGGAGGAGCAACAGAAGCAGGCGCAAGAATGCAAGGGCCCACGGCCCACAATGGGCCTGTAACCGCTGTGAGAGCGTGAGCGAGGAGTAGAAAGGGAGAGGCGAGCGCAGGAGAGAGGATCATCGAATATTTTGTATCGAACTCGTTCTTCTTCTCCAATACAACCGGGACCTCGTCGGCCCGTGGTCCTCCTCCTCCCTCTGTAAGATCGAGCGCTGCTAACACCTGGTCAGAACGATGACACGGATACAACGCTCGTGAAATGAACAGAGAGCAAACCGACCGTACCCATTTTTTATGTCGATTGTGCTGTCGTGCAAAGTACGCTGTACGCGTCAGCGTCTGAATGAAGCTGCACTGCAACGATCGTTTCTGCCAAACCACGTGCACAGCCTGTTTTTCGAGGCAACGTACTGTCAGAGAGTCAGTCAATAATGCACAATTACTTACTGTATATGAATCAGTACTTATGGGAGGATCTTCGAAGCGTACAGATTCTGTACGATGGTGCAGGTGGTCAAATGTCTGAGCCCGTGTTCAGTTGCAAAAAAAAGTTCAAAAAAGTGCTACAGTATTCATCACATCGAATTTTGCGATACATGTATGTAACATTAAATGTAGATGAAAAAAAACTAATTACATAGTTTGGTGAGAAATTACGAGACGAACGTTTTGAGCCTAATTAATCCATGATTGAACATTAATTACCAAATAAAAACGAAAATGCTACAGTAGCCAAATTCCAACTTTTCCCTCAACTAAACGAGGGCTGAGTTTTTATTTCGGAAATGCTCCTAAGGCATCCGACCTGTTTCATTCGTGTCGAAAGCTGCTCGTCTCCCTCACATGTTTGCTAGTATCCCTGACGATGACTCGGCCGCTCATCTCCTCGACGCCACTGACCACCTTAGTCTCTCACTGCCTACTTTCCTCCCTCACGGTCCCACCCGCCCGCGCCCGTCCTTGTTCTCCCCTCGCCGCTGCACCCGCTCGCCTTCCGACCTTACCTCCATGGCGGCAAAGTGGATCCAAGTGGACACCTCTATGGTGAGGTGTTTCTCAGCTATGAAATCCTCCATGATCGGGTGTCTCTCGACGACGAACTACCGCTGGAGGTGTGGCCTCGCTGGTGACAAGCTCTTCCATGGTGGCCGAGCTCCTTCATAGGCAAGCGCAACCAGATCTACACACTACGGTGGGTTATGTTGTAGTATCTGATATGTTGCAACAGTCAATCTTGGATGTTACATGTTTTATGGCACTCGGTATAAAATTGGATCTTGCGGCGTTGCAACAGTCGATTTGAGATATTGCAACATGTTTTTCTAGATGTTGCAATAGTCGATCTACATGTTGCAAAATGTTGTAACATGTTTTTTGGATGTTGCAATTATCTATTTAAGATGTTGCAACATGTATTTTTGGATCTTGCAACATGTTTTTTTGATGTTGCAGTCAATTTAAGATGTTGCAACATGTTTTTTTTATGTTGCAACTGTTGAATTAAGATGTTGCAACATGTTTTTTTATGTTACATGAGGCTTCAGTATGTTGCAAACCTTGTTCTTGAATGTTGCAAGCAATGATTAACACTTGATCCATTTGTCTCTCTTTCCATCTCTCTCCCTCACGTACGGCAAGGTGCGGTGTCTACAGGCGCTATAGGAATTAAGCGCAACCATCATTACCGGGGTTCACTATTTCATCACAGGAGAAAGGAGGGAGCCGAAAGGGGATGAGCGTTGGGGGGTCACGGGTAGAGCGAAATCCTCTGGATCCGAAAGGGAAGGAGCGCCGGGGTGGGACGGGTGGTAGAGCGGAAGCATCCGGATCAATTATTTATATCCGGACGTCCGGGCGCTAGTATTTCCATTTTTATTTCCAGGTTTTTCTTTTTAGTTCATAAACAGTATGAGCCACTCTCAACGAGAGTTTCATTCTCATCCAATTCATTAAATATTGTACCATGTCATTTTTTTTAGGTAGCAAAAGAGATTAATGAAGAGAGATTATATGAGTTTTATCTAGATAAAACCATGTCAACTTGTGTCTCACATATATTGCCTATAATAAAATGTTAAAAATGAAACAATTCAGTTCATAGACCATTTCATTCATCATTCAACACCCTATTGCTTATATATATGGCACACTTGAAAACGTCAATACACGAAACATTTCACTAAAATGGTTTTAGAAACCACAACCTTAGAATCTAGAGGGCTGCGGCGTTTGGAACAGATTCAAGACCGATTATGGTGGAAAGAAGCGAATGGAAGGCCCCAAACGTGAAACGGCCTGCTTTGCGCCTAGCTTCTTCTCCCCACGATTCTTTGCACAATGGCATTTACACATGAACGCAAAAGCGGCACAGAGAGAGCATTGGAAAAAATCACCTCAACTTCTCGGTATCCGTCCGCCCATGCCTCCCTTCTCCTCGTCGGACCCTGTACTCCCTCTCCCTCGCCGACCTCCACACTTTCGTTGGCTTCTCGTCCTCCGGCTTCCCAAATCCCAACCCCTATGCCTCCCTTGGCTTCTCAGTCTGTCATCTGGCTTGCCAGCCCCTACGCCCACTTTTTTTTTGAAACGAACCAATTATATTAAAAAAAAGATAAGTCCAGACTGGGCACAACAATACAATGATTAGACGACTACAACACAAGAAAACAACAAAGAGACCTCAACAACAGCGACCAACAACTTACGCCGAAAACAAAAACAACAAAAGGAAAAAAACAACTCTAGTTGGTCGGATTGGGACATCGACACGAACCGTACGCCGAAGCTCAACTTAGAAAAAACAACCACCACCACCTCCAAACCACCAAGCAGCCACCACACTACACCGCCAACCCCCGAATGACAAAGACGTCAGAGCAAAAACATCGTCGTCACCGCTCGCGCCGTTGTTACCAACGATGACCCACACCGAGCTGGTCTGCTGCCAAGCAGGACTAGCCGCCGTAGATCGCTGCATGCCGTGTAGCCCTCCCGCAATCAGACCAGCTTGCGCTGCCTCTCAAGACGATATACCACACCGGACTAGCCATCGCCAAGCAGGGCTAGCCGATGTAGTCCGCTGCAAGCTGCCTGTGGCAGAACCACCTAATCTAATGCCTCTCAGGAGTACTTGTCTTCTATTAGACACTAAGTACCCAAGAGATGACACTAAACTACGTAGTTCTGTCAAGCACACCCTAAGGGAGAACTCAAAATCCATATTTTTCCATCAGGATCATAAATGAGAGAATACAGCTTACAACATTCCCTTAAATCATTTCTTACATCACTTTATTACAGTACCAGAATATTACATCAATTTATTATAACTGCGGAATATAACAATATTATCAGAGTTACAGAGGAAGCAGGATTAATTTAATGACATGGTGGAGTATTAACATTGTGGACATTTTCATACAAGAGATGCTAGCAGATTTTACATCTTTTCTTATAAAAAACTTTAGTGAGGGTTATAAATAAACACTACGGTCGTAGCGGGAAAGGAATCCTCTCTGAGCCCACCAGGAGGTTTCCAAACACAAGAGTCAGCTCTAAGCATCCTCCGATCACCTGCAACAGGGAAATAAAACTCTGAGTACTCGATTGTACTCAGTAAGACTTAGCTGACAGGAGGAAAATAAAAGACTCCAAGAATATACAAGGCTATCTGGCTTGTGGGTTATTGCATCTGCGGAAGCATTACTAAACGTGCGTCCTTATATTCAATTTCATTAGTAGTTATCATTAGTTCATTAACTAACCATTCTATGTAAGCACCTATGCTACTTTCAAGTAGGTGGTAAGCAATTAGAACCATTTTACCATCTTTTATATTTCAGTTCTTACTATGGTGCTAAACCATAGCCAAGTTGGTACCGTCTCACAGAAACGGTGATTCGCGAATCAATATATCACAGCTGGGTACCCCGAAACACATGCCTTGTTTGTACCCCGGGTACAAACAAGACCAACCTATTCCACTCCTGTCACGGGGTCCAGGTCCCGTCCAAACTTGGACTCCAAGCCCCCACACTTGAGACCCGGTCTCAGTATGGTGCTTAGACCTTCACCTTTCTCCGTCTCCAATCAGTCGATCCAGAAAAAGCCGGAACCCATGACAAGACCGTAACGAGCCTTCCCGCTCCCATAAGCAAGTATGTGCTTAGGATAATAAGTCCGTGACTTGACTATCATCCACAGCAACGGACGGTCCTCAATCGACACAGGCGAAACAAGTGCAATCCAAACCTCGCTCGAATGCCTAACCAAGTCTAGATCCAAAGTACCATTCCGTCTGGTCTTCAATTATCATTCATATATATTTTATGTGACAATAATATAATAACAACAATAATATCTTTCCTATCTCTCGCGAGTGATAGGTAATCACTTGAGTTCTATCGAATCCTATATCACAGCAATCTACACGATCCTGACATACTAGTAGGACTCATAGATAAGGATATATATATATATATATATATATGCAAGTGATTTTCATTTAACTCCTTAAAACTTAATGCGCAAGCATAAGATAAAGTGTAGAATAATAGGGGTTATGCACCGGGGCTTGCCTAGGTAAGATATAACCAAAAGTTCACATTCCATCATAGTGACATGATCATCAAGGCATCATCTTTTCCGCTACTTCAGTCGACTCCATGATCCATTGTTGTTCCTATTATGATATACATAGATGCAACGTAAAGACACAATTAATCAACGGTAATTGCAACTCTTAAATATACGATTACGCTCCGTAAGCTAACGAGCCAGATTTAATGAGTAATGTA